CGACCTGGGATTTTCAGGGTTGATTTGTGTCATAAAAAGACAGATCGAGTTCGAAGAAGAGCATTCTAGCTCAAGAATTGGATTTTAAAAAAATCAAAAACCACAGGTCCCCAAAATGATGTTTTTTGAAAATATTATTTTTACAATTTCCTAAGGGGTAACTCATCAAAGTAGAGCGTATTGGACGGAAATTTCGTCCGTTTGGCTCTATCTTTAGCCATTTAGGCGCCACAGGGAGTTTTTGACGAAAATAAGCGAAAAAATGTACAACCCTGCATTCTTAGTCGAAGTAACGGGAAGTTGACGGGCCGAAGGCCAGTATCTTAGTGTACATTTTTGCGCTTCCCGACTCAGGTGTCAGCGCCGCAGGCATAGGTAGATGTGTGCCAGGCGCGTCGCAGCGTAGCAGTGTTTCGTGAGATATCGCGAAGCCTGTTACGCGAGACGAGGTCTGGCGTACATTCACCTAGTTAACAAGACTCTCAAAGGACTTTAAACATTCTTCCTGAAAAGACTTTGAAGTAGCAATATCTAAACTTCATCTTTGTGTCAGATACAGTGCCGACGTAGCAGAGTCAAAGAGCATCAAGATTTAGAAAATCACAAACAAAGAACGGATTGGTCTGCGACTGTCAACAAAATCGCTACTTATTCTTAAAAGATGCTGCTAGTGGTTGACCTGAGTTTTTTTCAAATTCTGAGGTGGAAATACTCGAAAAAAAAATATTGGCTCAGCGATTAGCGAAGCCTATTACTCCAGTGATGATCGAAATGTTTCGCGTCTGTCTGTCTGTGTGTATGTTTGTCTGTGCGCACGATAACTCGAGAACGAATAGGGTGTTCCAGGCTATCTAAAGCGGAGGTGAAAAAGAACAAACTCACTGATTTATATGTTTCCGTCCGCCCAGTATGAGAAACTGCCATGGTAGTTTGGTCCATTCCTAACCTCTCAAATATGGAGGGGAGCTCGAAACTCATCTGACAGTTTCTCATAACTGAAAGGTCGCGGAGGCACGTGACTAGCTCGACCAGTCAGAGCCATTGCGGAAACAGAAAGGTAAGTGAGTTTGTTCTTTTCCTATTTCCGTTTTAGATTACCTGGAACACCCTATTGACCTACGACCTGGGATTTTCAGTGTCGTTTTGTGTCATTAAAAGACAGATCAAGTTCGAAGAAGAGCATTCTAGCTCAAAAATTGGATTTTAAACAAATCAAAAACCACAGGCATCCAAAATGACGTTTTTTAAAAATATTTTTTTACTGTTTTCTAAGGGGTAACTCATCAAAGTAGAGCCCTCTGGGCGACAATTCCGTCCATTTGGCTCCATCTTTAACCGTTTAGGCACCAGAGGGAGTTTTTTTTCACGAAAATGACCTCAAAACATTTCTACGTTTTTTCTCAGATATTTGTTGGTCTCCGGTAGGGTAATTCGTTAAAATAAAACCCCGAGGAACAAAATTTGTGACTTTTGGGGCCGAATGCCTACTTACGACTTTGACCCGACTCGGGTGTCAGCGCCGCAGGCCTAGGTACATGTATGCCAGGCGCGTCAGCGTAACAGTGTTTCG